CTCGCCTGGAAGCGCCAGGCAGGCGCCAGTGGCAGCGATGGCACCGGCACGCTGTTCCCAGAGAGGGTGACGTGTTTGTGCGTGCTGTTCTGCGCCGTGCTCGCGCCCGACCTCCTCGCGGTGTTTGTCTACTCGCCCGTGGGGCTAGGGCCACAGGTTTATAACCGCATTGCGAGAAAACATGTCAGCGCGTTCGGGGTTTTGATGGCGCTCGTTTCGGCCTTCTGGCCGACATGTTCGACAGCAACGTGTGCGACCGTGGAGTAAAGCCAGTCCTGCGGTGGCTCGGCATATTATTTCTCGTGGTGTTGGTATTCATTGGCTTCACGTTGAAATCTGTGAGATATACATGGATTCCCGTCTTGCTGAGCGCGTGTACCACGTTATGACCCCTCGCTTTCAAAAACGCCCAATGAAGGAAATTGACGACCAGACCGCCACAATTCTGTCTCATGACGGCATTCCGCTATAGCAGATGTGGGTTCGCGATATTCAGGATGTGGATCTTTTTGGGTTAAGTTTGCAGACCACACACGGGATCGTTGGTGGAACGAAGAAACCGAACGTTGGTTGGCAAGCCAGTATGCCAGGGTGTATCGCCAGTTGACCCCCGATGAGTTGGCATCAGAATCGTCGCCGCTGTCACTGCACGAGTACTGAGTCGACGAGGGCTTGATGGGTAGCATCGACAGCGAGGCTGTCCAGGACTTGGTCTCTACAGCTTGCAGGATGGCGGCGACTGTCATGTTCACACGGTGGGCCGGTCCTTTCACTGTCTCCGCTCGCACTGTGATGTGTGCGGGTCTCTGCTCCCTCTTCTTCAGGAGTGTCGCGAGGATCAAGACAGAAAGCCAGATAATGGACCCCACGGATGAAGCAGGGAAGTGCGCATCCCAGAAGTGCACATCCCAGAACAAAATGGAGGCGATCTTCACGTTTATGAAGCGCTTCGTGCTCACCATCGCCCTCGCAGTAGCAACCATGTACACCTCGCTGTACGTGTCTGGCGCTACTGTGAAGCTGGGCTCCGCAATGCTGGCCGTGGCGTGGATCGCGTTCTTCGTCATGTCCATGTGGCTAGCCCAGGAATTGGACACGCAGACCCTCAACGAGTTGAAGGAGGAGACACCGCTCATGCGACATGTCATCAACATCTTGCAGTCGAATTGGGTGAGAGCGATAGTTCTTGGAGGCTTGCACGTCATAATCCCATTAATCGTGATTCTGGATCAGGTGCGCCAGCAGGTCCGTAAAAAAAACACGAAGTATTACTCCGAAGATAGCGTGAGCGAGCGGACGCAGGACCAGCATACGCCGTCCGGCAGGAGATTGCGCGAGGCGTTGGCGAAATGGAATTGGAGAGACATCTTAGGCAAGGTCTGCGTGTTAGCAGAGATATTCGTGTTGCTCGCAGTCGGCTGGAAGGTAACGTTTATTTTATCGCTTTGCTCATTCCGCCAGTCCAAATTGCGCGCCTTAGAAGCCTCTTGGGGCTTCCTGGGGGCCTCTTCTGGCGCAGGGCTCGAATTGTCGGTACGTGTTCCCTCTCTTGGGCCCGTCTTGGGGCCGTTTGGGGGTTCTCTTGGGCGCATCTTGGGCCGTTTCGGGGCCGTGGGGCCTCTTGGGCCGTCTTGTGGCTGTCGTTGGGGCCTCTGGGGCCGTCTTGGAGCTTCGGACGCTCGAGAAGGCGATAGCGTGAAAACCATGGAAACACACACAATCGAAATCATTGAATGTTGTCTCTGTGGGCTCTCTCAGGGGACCTCTTGGAGCGCTTTGGGGGCTTCTTTGGGGCCTCTTCGGCTGTCTTGGAGGCATGTTCGTCCATCTTGGCGGCGCTGGTCGCCACCCAGGTCCGTTTTGGAAGCCATCATTCCAATTCCGCCGGCTCGATTTTCCCCTGGTGCAGATCCGAACCGACCCGATGCAGAGATGCCGATTCCGATTTCAACTTCGCCCGATCCGACTCCTGCCGATTCGATGTGTCAGCCGATTTCTGCCGACTCTTGCCGATCTGGCTTCGCTCCGGTAGGCAGGATGGCCTTGGTTTCGGTTCGGTCTGGTTCGGAATACCATTGGGTCGGTTCGTCAGGTTCGGCCAGTCCCGTTCGGCCGGTCCGGTTCGGCAGGATCGGCCCGGTTCGCCTGGTTCGGTTCGGCCGCGGGTTGCGGGGGTCGGCACGGTCCGAAGTTGCTCGAAAAGTCCCGAAGTGCCCGAAAGGTACGGCGACGATTGCGGCGGCGTCGACGGGGCCCCGAAGGGGCTCCCAAGGGTCTCCCAAAGGGGCCCCTGGCGAAGGGGCGCCCGAAGGGGGCCCCCGAAGGCCGAAGGAGACCCCGAGGGGAGCCCTCCGGGGGCCCGAGGGGCCCCCCCGAGGGGCCCCCGAGGGCTGGGCGCCCCTGAAGAGGGGGCCCCAACCGAGCTGTGGGGAAAGCCAAGGCGAGAGCTGCGACGGCGGAGGCGCGCGGGCGTGCACTGCGACATGCGACGAGAACGCGTGCGACGACGCGTGCGACGAATCGTGCGCACGACGAGACACGACCACGTCAGCGACGACGTGCGACGACGACAGGCTGATGAGGAGAGCGGGAGGGAGGGACCATCACCTCCTCCGCTTGCTTCCGTGCCCTCCCGATTTCGATTCCGATCTGGCTTGACGCGATCTGGTTTCCGATTCGATCCGACTCGATCCGTCTTGGAGCCCGCTTGGAGGCCACCTTGGCCATCTAAGAGGCGATTGGGCAACGGGAGACACTTTGTTTTCGGTGGGGTTGTGGGTCCTTCCGGGTGGCCGGCGGGATCGGCCTAAGGACCTTCGGGAAACAGGACCAAAGAATGCCCAACGTTTGGCACGCCATGCACCCATGTGGCAAGCCACAGGGGGCGGCGGATATAGTGGCCTTCGGCCCATCCCGCCATTGTGCCTAGATTGGGCCAGAGGCCTCTTGGATGCGTATTGGTGTATCTTGGGATTCGTTTCGGAGGCCTCTTGGAGGGCTGGGACCTCTTGAGGGCTCCTTGGAGGCCTCTTGGGACCTCCTGGGGGCTGGAGGCCTCTTGGGGGCGCCTTGCGGGCCTCAGGGAGGATCTTGGAGCCGTCTTGATAGAGGGCTCCAAATGTCAGTTCGTGTTCCCTCTCTTGGGGCCATCTTGGGCCGCCTTTGCGGCCTCTTGGGCCGTCTTTGGGCCTTCTTGGCCCGCCTTGAGGCCCTATTGGGGATATCTTGGGCAGTCTTGGGACGATCTTGGGTCTTCTTTGGCAGTCTTCGACCGGTAGAAGCCCGAAAAGGTGGGAACACGAAAATCTGTCAAACTTGACAGCAGCGCTGTGCACAGTGCTTGCGCCTGCAGCTGACTGGGCCCAGGTGCCCGTAAGCTGAACGCCTGGCTGCTGTCGGGTGGTTGCCACAGGTCTTCCAGGAAGCCATGGCCGGACGGGCCGATGCCGCGGCGTTTTGTTTCGGATTCCTGACGGTGCCCAGCCGGGTATCCAACGAACCAGGCCAGGAGGTGTCCGCGGTGCTCTCAGGCTGGCTCACAGCACACGTATCGCACACGGCGGGCCATTCACAGCCCGGTGATCACCACGGGGTAGCGGGTATCGCGCTCGGGCCTTCCGAGGGGGAGCCACCAGTAGGTATGTCACGGGCCCGTTTGCCCCCGGATTCGTGGGGCCTCTCAGCTAGAATGCCCGTTTTGGAGAAGCTCGTGATCACCGCAAGGTGGCAGGCTGCTCGGACCCCTTCAGGGATAGAGAACCACCAGGGGGTATACCACTGGCCCGTTCGCGCCCAGATTGGTGTGACATAGTTGTGTGATGGGGTTCAGTAGCTCACCGCATGCCATGTCGTGTCGTGCGCAAACGTTTGCCATTGTTGATTCATGGCTTTCGACACATCCCGCCACCGCACCTTGGTCGTGGACAAAAGGCCTCTTAGAGTTCTCTTAGGAGGCTTGTGGAGGCTTCTTGGGGGCCTCTGCGAGGCTTCTTGGTAGCATCCTGGATGTCTCGAGGTCTCCTCGGAGGGGCGGCTTCCAGCGGGGCGGCGTTGGCATGCCTTGGGGGGCCCTCTTGAGAGCCTCACTAGCACCTCTTGGCGACCTCTTGGGCCCTCTCTGGCTGCCACCCGGCGCCCTCCGAGGCCAAGACTGTGCCTCCGGAAGGCTCGCGCGGCGCATCTCAGGGAGCACCCGGGAAGTCCGGCGAGTCCAGGGACCGGGCAGTTCGAGAGCTTGACTACAACATGCTCGTGTCGTGGCGACGCGGCGGCGACCCCAGCGCGGGCGTTCAAGATGTAACGCCGTTCGTGGCTTGGGATCGGCCGATATCGGGCGATCTGCGCTATCGGAATGCCACGACCGTTCAAGGTTGAACGATTCGCGCGGTGCCAGGGACCAACGCCGAAGTCGTCTCGATCGAACTTGCCGCATGATTATACCACTCTCACTTGCGTTTGCCATGGCGGACTCCAATACGTTCTCAAAGCGTGGCGACGGGTGTTGCTCCTGATCACTTGAGGCAGTGAAGCGCGTGGGATAGCAGAAGGTGGCCTCCGAGCGCAGCTGCAGATTGTGAGCTCATCGACTACATGTCACAAACGGCAAGAGCAAAAACGAAACCAACAACCACAAATATAAGTGGTGCCAGGTGCTACATAAGATGTTGTAGGATACAGTGAACAAAACGATCGGAGCGTCTGCGGCATGTCATGCCACGACTGGTGACGTGTTTCCAGACGCGCCGCGAAAGGCGAAATGCGGTCGGCGATGGCTCTGTCGCACCCGTCGGATCGCACAGGGAGGCCCCGCCTTCGGAACCTCCAAGCACCTCCTGCCACCGTGCATCACGCTAGCCCGCGCGCACACCACGTGACTGAACCCATGAGCTCCCGTGCTGAGGCTGCAGCCGCCGCACCGCGACCCCACCACGGGGCGGGCACGGGCGGGCTCCCCAGCGGAGCGCGCGCGACTCTGTCGCTCGCTCGCCCGCCGCCGCGCGCGCCCAGCGCAGGCGGGGCGCCTTCCCCACGCGCGCGCCCGCGCGCGGCGCTCCGGCCCCGAAATGGCCGTGGGCACCGGCCTGGGCCCGCCGTGCAGCGCGTGCGGCAAGGCGCCGCGCTCGTCCGCGCAGACCGGCCCGCCCGAAGCGGCTCGGAGTGTCCAGGCACTCTGCGACGGACGACTGCATTCCCGGGCCTCCTGAGCCGGGGTCGGAGCAGGTGGGGTCGGAGGATCGCGCCGCATCGCCGACGCATCGCCGATGCGGCCCGATGTGGGGCCCGATTCGATTCACGGCGGTGTCGCCGATGCATCGCCGACGTCGACGATGCATCGCCAGTGCATCGCCGATGCATCGCCGATGTATGGGCAACGCGGTGCGATCCTCCAACCCCATCTACTCCGACCCCATCTAGAAGGCCTCTATTCACGTAAGAGTGACCCTTCGCCAGAGTGACCTTTGGTGCGGGCTTATCGGGGTCCCCCCGATCGATGAGCGCGATGCGATAGCAGCTGCTTGCGCGCTCGGATTTGGCCGCCCCGCGATCCCCATGAAGCCGCGCACCAAGGGTCACTCTTGCCTGTGGTCACTCTTGCGTGTAGCCGGCCAAGCATTCGGCGAATACAAAGGGCGTGATTACGCCAGAATGTGGTTTGCGATCGGCACCGTTGGGATTTGGGGAGCATGACGCTGTCCTCGTCGGGCCTCCTCGGGGCGCGGCGGCGAGCTTTGTCGAGGTCCTCGCCGGCCCCCCGGGGTGCCCCCCAAGGTGCCCGCTGCAAACCACACCCTTTGCAAGCCACACCCTTCGGAGTCGCTGAAGCATGGCGGCACGCAGAAGGGTGCGCCACGATCTTCGAAGGCTTTGGGGTTTTGTTCGGGCCCCGGAGTGCTTTCCGTCAGCTGCGCCTCGCCGCGAGGGCCCTGATCGGCCGCCGGAGACCGATTAGTGGCTCGAGAAACCCTTGCTGGCGGTGCGCATGAGGGAGGGCGCAGGGGCTGCATGCCAAGAAGGCGGGGGGCTTCTGAGGAGGCAGGGGCCCTCCCAAAGGGGCCCCGAGGCATCCGAGACGGTCCGCTGGATGCGGGGAGGGCTTCCAGGAGGCCCCCTTGCTTCAGAAGCTCCCCGTCGTCTCAGAAGGCCACCCCGGACGCGCGAGCCGCCAGCAGACTTGTGGCGACTGGGGAGGGGTCGCGCCAGGGTGGACGGTTTCTCCGAAGGGCTTAGGCGACCCGTCCTCCTCCTCCTCCTCCTCCTCCTCCTCCTCCTCCTCCTCCTCCTCCTCCTCCTCCTCCTCCTCCTCCTCCTCCGTCCTCCTCCTCCTCCTCCTCCTCCCCTCCTCCACCTCCTCCTCCTCCTCCTCCTCCTCCTCCTCGGGTGGCCCACGGCCCCGGGGGAAACCGTGCAGGGAGGGGTCGCGCCAGGGTTTTGTGCGGCACGCTGAGCGTGCAGAGCCGAGGCGCCGAAATCGGGACCGCCCTGGGCCCGGGAGAGGCTCGCTGGGGCTGTCGGGCCGCTCCCCGGGCTCCTGCCGCGGAGGCCGCGTGCGGCCGGGGCCCGCCGGGGCCAGGAGGGCCCCCTGCGTTCTCGAGCACTGCGGGGCTGACAACAAAAGAGTGGTTGTCTGCCTCGGGGGAGGAGGAGGAGGAGGAGGAGGAGGAGGAGGAGGAGGAGGAGGAGCTCACCATAAAAGAGTGGTTGTCTGACTTGGGGGGCAAGCAACAGCACCAACAAGAAGCTAACAGGCAGAAGGCACCAGCAGCGAGTGAACAGCAAGAAGCTGACAGCCATCCGTGGCCACGCTGGCTCAAGGATTCGAGCCTAGGGCCAGGGCAGCTTTGCAGCTCAATTGAGCTGTCCTGGAGGGCTCCTGTGGGGTCTGGGCGGCACAAGGCCGCCCCCTCGTGGCTGGTCTGAGGGGGCGTCTCAAAAACTGTCCGTCCGGTAGGGCTGTGGTCCTGTGGTCCTTCCCAGAAGGTCCAGGGCGGCAAGAACCAGGACGAGGCGCCCCGCAACGGGGGGCGGCCCAGGAGAGGAAGGGGCTTCTAGGTGGAGGAGTAGAAAGAGGAAAAGGAGGAGAGGAGGAGGAGGAGGAGGAGCAGGAGGAGCAGGAGGAAGAGGAGGACAAGAAGAAGAAGAAGAAGGAGGGAGGAGGAGGAGGAGGAGGAGGAGGAGGAGGAGGAGGAGGAGGAAACACGAGGAAGAGGAGGAGCATGCGTTCCTTGCAGAGGCACACGGGTGGGAGAAGCGCGCGGCGCCGGGCTTCCGCGCCAGGGAGGGAGGTCCCGAGGGGGCTTACAGCCCAGGGCTGATTTGGCGGGGCCCCTTGGCGCCAGAAAGCCTGGACCATTTTGGAGCATCTCGGACCATCTTGAGAACACCTAGCAGCGCCCGTGAAGCGGACGTCCGAGCGGGGGCACGGCCCCGCCCTGTCGAGGGCGCTCCAGGGGCGCCGCCGGGGGGGCCCTCTGCGAGCGCCCGAGGGGAAGAAGGAGCGAAGTGCACGCGTCCGAGTGGTTGGCAGCCGTCGCGGTCTGTTCTTTGCGCTCCGTCCATATCTTTCTCTGCGGTAGTCGGCGTGCGACCATGCATGGGTTGATCTGCGTGGTTGTTCCCCCCTCCTCTCTTGTCCGTTGTCCTCCTCCTCCTCCTCTTCCTCATTCTTCTCCCTCCTCCCTCCTTTCTTTTTGTGTTACCCCTCCTCATTCTCACCCCGATAAGCTTTGTTGACATGTGACGAACTGTTCCTGCACTGAGCATCGTGCGACTTCATGTCGCTGGTGTGGATTGTAGATCTGCCCCACGCCGCAGCCGAGGAAGTCCTGGGCAAATGCATGCGCGCCGAGGGTGTGATGTTCCATCCCGAGTGCTTCGTCTGCGGCGTCTGCCAGGAGCACCTCGCGGGGGGTTCTTGCAATTGCCATTGGTGCTGGTCCGTGGATACGGGGCGTTATTTTGAAGATGTGCCGCGCGGAACGTATCCGTGCGATCGCGTCTCCACGGGATCGCGCCCGGGAGTCAAGACCGCGAGGGCGTGGATATGGATAGGCTCGCCGCTCGTAAGTCCTCCTTCTTCCTCCTCGCTCCACCTCTTCCTCTCACCCCTCATCCGTCCTCCGCCTCCTCTGCCCCTCGCCCCCCCGTCCTCCGCATGCTCCCACGTCGTCCCCCGTCCCTCGACTCCTCCAGGAGCGCGCGCAGCGTGAGCGTGCTCGAAGCCGTCCGAGGCAGCAGACAGTACCATGTACCTCTCGCACGCTCACCAATTTCCATGATGATGCCCCAGGTCACGCGGCTGGCTTCTGAGCATGGGGACACCTAGCGTGCCAATGTGTTTTTGTTGTTGCGTTCGATCCGCCTGTTTCGCTTGAGACTACCTCACCTTTTGTGACCCCGAAGCTTGAAATGTGCAGCAGCTTCAAAGATGGAGGGCGGGTGGTTTTCAAAATGTGGCTCTCGGTTGAGCTTCGCGCACATCTGCTTTCAAAGTTCGCAAAAGTGTCAAGGATTCGTCGAGTTTAGTCGGGCGTGTCCCTCTACAGGGGGAAGCTTTAAAAAACAGTCAAAAAAAATCTCGGCACGTTTTTGGGGGTATGTTTGATTATTTGCGGAGTATGTTTTGACTATCCTTTCCTGTTCGTCACAAATCCCCCTGTATAGGGGACGGGCCTGACCGAATCGTAGAGTGGAAATCCAAGTATTGTTGTTCGTTTGCGACTCAGGACTGCCAGGACGCAGCAGTCACGTTGATTCGCGGTGTTGAAGTCCCTGGAATTGTCCTCGCACGACTTAGGACTGTCAGGACGCGACCGAGTCCTGGGAAATTTGCTTCGGCGCGATTGAGGATTCTCAGACGGTTGTTTTTCAATCGGGCATTCCGCACATATAGAGAGTCGCGCAGGGACATTTGAAGAAGGATTTTGGAGGGAGCGTTTGTCCCAACATCGTTGATGCGTCCTGGAGTTCCATTGGTCCTCCTCCTCCCCTCCCCCTCATGCTCCTCCTCCGTCCTCCGCCCGCCAAGCGAGCACGCACGAACCGCTGGGCGAGAGGAGCCGCTGGGCGGACCCTTCAGCGTGAAGGGCGGCGTGCGGACGTGCAAGAAGTGCCTGCCTCCAAGGCGGATCCGTCGCGGAGAACGATCAGGAGGAGGAGGAGGAGGAGGAAGAAGAAGAAGAAGAAGAGGGGAGGACGAGGAGGTGGAGAAGAAGAAGGAGAAGGAGGAGGAGGAGGAGGGGGAGGAGGAGCGGGAGTAAGAGGAGGAGGAGGAGGAGGAGGAGGAGGAGGAGGAGAAGGAGGAGGAGGAGGAGGAGGAAGAGGGGAGCGGGAGGAGGAGGGGGAGGAGGAGGAGGAGGAGGAGGACGAGGAGGAGGACGACGACGACGACGACGACGACGACCGCGACGACGACGACGACGACGACGACGACGACGACGACGACGACGACGAGAAGGGCGACGAGGACGGGGAGCAGGAGGGTCAGCAGCAGCAGGGAGATGGACCAGGAGGAGGAGCGGGACGAGCAGGGGCACGGGGAGGGACACGGGGGAGAAGGGAGGAGGAGCGCTGGCGGAGGCAGGGGCAGAAGCAGCAGCATGAGGAGGAGGCGTTGGTGATTGTTTGCAGCGTTCGTCACTGTCTGGCAAAGAAGGAAGGAGGAGGAGGAGGAGGAGGAGGAGGAGGAGGAGGAGGAGGAGGAGGGAGGAGGAGGAGGAGGTGGACGACGAGGAGGAGGAGGAGGAGGAGGAGGAGGGGGAGCAGGCGGAGGCGGAGGAGGAGGAGGAGCTCAAGGAGGAGGAGGAGGAGGAGGAGGAGGAGGAGGATGGACGCCCCAGTGGGCCAGTCCCCAGAGCGCGGCAAGGCTCTGCGGGGCGTGCGACCTCCCCATCGAGGGCACCGCGGCCGAGCTGGGCGGGTGCGCGTACCACCCGGACTGCGTCAAGTGCGACGGCACCCCGTCGCCGCCGCGGTGGCGACGACGGCGGGCGGCGACGACGACGACGACGACGACGACGACGACGACGACGACGACGACGACGACGACGGCGACGACGACGACGACGACGACGACGACGACGACGACGACGACGACGACGACGACGGTGGCGGCGGCGACGGCGGCGGCGACGGCGACGGCGGTGGCAACGATGGCGACGGCGGCCAGCGGCGGCGGCGACGGCGGTGGCGACGATGGCGACAACGACGGCGCTGACGGCCACAGCGGCGACGGCGATGGCGACGGCGGCGGCGCTCGAAACGATGGGACGGGTGTCAGTCGATCCTCCCCGCGCGCCCACCGCACTTCGCAAGAGGGGGGGCGGAGGGAAGCGGAGGGGGAAGGGAAAGGCGAGAGGAGGGGACTTTCCAATCCTCGCCACCCCCGCAGGATTGCCACAGTGGGTTCCTACGGGGTGGGATGGTGCATCGAGGGGTGTCGGTTCCACTATTTCTCGGGCGGGGGTACGGCCGATGCGGGGGAAAACCACGGGATCGCGAGGTATCGGCCCTCATGAAAGGCCCCAAGGACGGAGAAGCAGGGGGAGGGGAAGAGGAGGACGAGGACGAAGAGGTTCGGAGAGAGGGGTTCGGTCGAGGACCTGCGCGGTCCGCGCGGGCGCGAGGGCCCAGCATTCAGGCTCGGATCGTGGTGCCTGGGAGAGGTCATGGCCACTTGTGCTCCTCCTGCTCCTCCTGCTCCTCCTCCTCCTCCTCCTCCACCTCCACCTCCGCATGGGCGTTCAAAGAGCGGCGGCACTGCGCACCACGTGGCGCGTTCCAAAGAGGGCCTCGCCTTCGGCGTATGCTCGCCTTCGGCAGAAGCTGGGCGGAAGTTACTGGGAGACGTCCACACTTTTGGATCCAGGCTCTCCAGGAACAGCTACATGACAAAGCACCGAGTAGGAGGAACGGCAATGCAGAGGAGGGGAAGGACCCGCCCGAACCCCACAGCATGAGGAGGGAATTGGTAGCAGCTGCAGCAGACTTGTCTTCACTGGCGCAGCAGCGAGGTAGCGTTGCTGTTGGAGCGAGTGGTAGTCCCTTCTGATTTCACAGCGCAACGACGTTGCTGCGTTGTTGATGGGTTCCATCCTCCGCCGCCACCGCCGCCTCCTCCTCTCTCGTCATTTTCCCCCCTCCTCCTCCTCATCCTCCTTCTCCTCCTCCTCCTCCTCCTCTTCCTCCTCCTCCTCCTCCTCCTCCTCCTCCTCCTCCTCCTCCTCCTCCTCCTCCTCCTCCCCCACGTCAGCATCATCAACAGCACCGCGTCGTCATCGTCATCGTCATCAGCATCATCATCATGATCCTCATCGTCATCATCGTCATCGTCAGCATCACCATCAGTATCATCATCACCGTCATCGTCAGCATCATATTCATCATCACCATCCTCATCATTTTGATATTCGTCTTCTTCATGCCGTAACCGTTCTGGGTATAGATGCACGATTATCAGGTGAATCACGTGGATACCGCTGATTCGCAGTTTGACCATTACTCTTTTCAGGCCCGTGCCGAACCTCATCCCAAGCATGTCCGCCCAGACTCGGGACGTTAGCTCCAGCCTGTTTACCCAGGCGCGTTACACCCACACCCTTCGTTCAGAGTGTCATGGCGCGCGGCGCAGCTTGGTGCTCAGATCATGTTGATGTTAATGATGTTGATAACGATGATGATGCTGATGATGATGATGATGTGGTATTCAACGTTTCTCCTACAATCCGTGGGCCCAAACTTCGGTGCACCGAAGTCGTAGGGACAAGAATGGAAGCGGACGGTCTGACAGCAAGCGGTATGTTCATAGCGCCCCCAGCGACGACAACGTTTGCAGCACATGCAGCCATTGGGAATACCCACATCGGGGCCACACTTGCTGCTTCAAGCGTGCCGGACATGATTATGGGCATGATACTTAGAGTGACAAAACCGACCTTGAGCATGATGACGCTGAGCCAGCCGCAACCAGCTATAAAGTTCGTGAAACAATTGTCCTGCAACGTGGAGTTCGCCGTGACTTGCGGGGGGGGGGGGGATATGGGCCATTTGCAGCTGCACTACACGACCCCCGCATAATGAAGCCAGCTACAACTTGATGCTGGCGCCCATCAAGAACGCACCCGCCTTGTAAAAGAACCTGGGGGTGCCGCCCGAACTGGGAGGATTTCACACCAGGAGATCAGTTTCAAGAAAGACAACCGCAACAATGTACGTGTCCAGCTTCAGGAAGCAGACGCTGCCCTGGAAGAGGCCACTGCTGAGCTGGACGCTGGTAAAGCCGAGCCAACGCAATATGCCGCAGCTCCCCATGCCTTAGTTCCGACCGGGTGGAAGAACAGGAATATCCAGGGTATCGCCCAGGCCCAGGCCCACGAGGCGAATGTCCATGGGCCTGGCGCCGCGCAGGCCTTGTCCCACACGGCGACGGGTGGCGGCGCTAGAGCGGCCCCCGCGGCTCAGGCAGCCCTTGCAGGCGGTGGAGCCAGCTCGGCATCTGGCGCTGGGCCAGCGGGCCAAGCGGGACCAGGTGGAGCTAGACCTCGCGCCGCAGTCCAGCTTCCGCCCAACATGGATCAGCTCACAGATGAGAAATTGCGCGCGTGGTGCCCAACGATTTCACGTTCTTATGATTATTGGAGTGCCTTGCGCGATATGCATCGGGCTGTCGTGCAGGCCCAGTCTGGCGAAATGCACGACGTTGGGCATGCTGCGGGAGGCCGCGATGAAATTGCCGAGGAGTTGGACAATCTTCGGAGGCGCTCGCCGGAGCAAGCAAGCGTCGCCCCAAGACCAAGCTGACCCCAATGCAGAAGCCTGCGCCCCATCGCGCCCGCGCCAAGAGTGGGAGACGCATCAGAACGGCAGGCACAATGTCGAGGACGCCGCCCGCGGGGCCCCCGCCGCAGGAGGTCGACAGCCCCCGCGGCAGGGGCAACACCCCCTGCACAGCCCGAGCCCTTCAATCCCTTGCCCCCGCTGCGCCCAGCAGGAATGACGGGCGGAAAACAGCGGCGGCAGCTGCCGCGGCGGAGCATCCCGGCACCCATCATGGAGGCATCCCGAACGAGTCCACTGACGCCGTTGCCATTACTCCCGCCACCCAGGCAGAGGCCAGCGCGACGCTTCCTCTCTGGACAAGCACCACCTCATGGGCGACGGGCCCCAAGCTTTCGAAAAGGACGGCTCCCAAATAGAGCGGGGATCCCACATTCACTTTGATTCCAAGTCCCCCAACGCACAGCGGCGCAGTGGCTCTGGCGACCCGAGATTTGAGTTTCCGTCGCATTTTTTGTTTGCACCACGAAGACTGCACCGCGTAGATTTTCCTCGCTGGAAAGAGAACACACTCTACCCCCCAGCCCCCCCCCCCGCCCAGAATTATTCACGCACTTTTTTACATACCAATTTACATGTGATTCTGCCCCATCGCCCATCCGAACGATGAGTCTACACCATCCCCGGGGGGCAGCATCCGCCCCCGCCATCCTCTGCAAGAAATATTATGCGCGCGCGCTCGTTCGTCAAGAATCATCAGTTTCACGAGTCCCTTACAAAATATGAAACGAAGTGCACACGCGCGCGCGCTGTCGGGCGCGCGCGCGCGCCGAGATCGATCCTTCAAAAACCGTCGGTTTCGGAAGGATTTAAAAATCGAGTGTCCAAAAAAACATAGTTATATACATTAAAAGCGCAGGGTCTCGCAACGCGAGTTTTAGTAAACCGTAGGTTCTCATCCTCTCAGAAAGTGCTACCGAACGGGTTCCGCGCGCGCGTGTGGAAATCGTTCGAACTCCCTCGCGCGCGTGCCATCGCGAGAATCGTTTGCAAAGAATGAAACGAAGTGCACGCACGCGCGCCGTCGCACGCGCATGCCGAAATCCGTCAAAAATCATCGGCTTCGCAACGATCTCAAAACCGAGTGCCCCGAAACCATGCAAAAACACATGGTTTCGCAGCATCAGTTCCCCCCCAACAAAAAAAAAAAAAAAAAAAAAAAACAAGAAAAAACGCCGCGTTCCTGCGAATTCTTCAGACAACCGTAGGTTTGTCAACACTGTCATCGAATTCTGCCAAGCGGGCCTCCGGCGCCGCATGCCGACATCATTCGCACGCCCTTGCGCGCGCTCTGGGGGGGCACGATCCTTGTCAAAAAATACCTCGCGGGCCACTCCTCGCGCGTCGGCCGCGCGTGCATGTCGAACTATTTCCATAACCTTCACCGACGCAAGGACGCCGTCATCGTCGTCGGCGTGATCAGCACCGGCGCCGTAACTGGCCGCGCCGCCGTCGCTGTCAGCATCGTCGCCAGCATCGCCACCATCATCATCGCGTCTACCGCTGTTGACGTTGCCATTATACCGCGCCCGCCCAAGTCGCCGACTCGCACTGAAGCGTCTGCTGGGATGTGCTGAGCGGTCAGCGCCACCGCTTTCGCGTCGGTCGCGCGAAAATAGTTAGCCGCTGCGCGCGCGAGCATGCGTGGGCCAGCGCGGCCGCAGAGGTGCACCAGCCAACACCAAGCAGTCATCGCAATAACTTCCACATGGGTTTCCCACACCAATTTCCTGGCGGGCGGGCGGGGTGATTGCGCGAGCAGTGGAGTCAACAACTTCATGTTCGCCAAGGCGAAATACACCACATAGAGTGCACCACATACTTTGCAAAATGCAATTTGCACAACATAGGTCGCACCACACAGTTCGCACAACATATATCGCGCCACATAGGTTGCACCGCATGTCTTCTCTTTTCTAAGAGAGCAATCTACATTACACCCCCCCGTCGAATGGCAAACGCCGGTTTGATGGTATATACACCTGTGGAATGGAGTTTTCCCTGGTCAAACAGGTTCATGCCCCGTTTACTTATCCTAAAGCGTGAGGACGTCTTACTCGTCGCAGAAATGCCTCGTTCAGGCCACTTCGAGGCATGTTAGAGGCCTCTTAGAGGCCTCC